CTCAGATTGCGAGTCGAGTGCCTTAACCACCTGGCCATGCCGGGCCCCAAGCAAAAGATATATTTTGCATTAAATTGTAAAAGATTGCTGAAATAAACTACATTACTATAATAACAGGAAAAAGTATAATTAAAATAAAGTTTTAACCAAAAGAAATTTGAATCAGGAATAGAAAAGAATGGAAGGTACATCTGACAAGCTTAAACTAATTTATTTTTGAGTATATTTTAATGCATTTAATTAATTTATATAATGATTGTATTTTACGTACGTACCCTTTGATAAATAAGTATCAGGTTATCTAATTCAGTCACGAAACCGGTAGAAAATAATAAAAAAATAGAACAGTTTCAGGATTCAGTGTTTTGTTATTTGTATCCATAGGTGGAAACTTGTATGTGTTTTGGTTATATATATATATATATATATATTAACATATCATATATATATTTTAGCAAGCAAAAAAAGATGTATATGTGTAATGTAAGCCTTTTCCTTTTCCCTGAATGAGCTTGTACTTCTCATAATTCAACTTGATAAGAACCAGTTGTAACCTAGTCGAATTCAGAAGTTCCTTTCTATTTCGGAAACAAATGTAGATAATGGGGATATGAAAACTGCATCTTTGATTCATTTCGCAAACAAAACAATTCATGTTCACTTAACTGGAAGAAAAGTTTATTTTTCGTTAGTAATGTTAATTAAAATATGTGCTAGTACGTAAACTAAACAAATCAGAGCAATACACGTGTGCAAAGTGTAATTTCTGAGACTAGGGGACTACGTAACTTTGATCTGGTTGACCATAAAGCTATATGATTTTGACCTGGGTGATTAAGATACTATGTGACCTTGACCTAAGTTATCATGTGACTATTCGACCTTAACCTATGTGATAATGAGATTATATCATTTTGATCTGGGTGATTATGGCAATATAAAACCTTGACCTGGGCGATCTTAAATTCTGTGTGAAAAACTCAAAACTGTATAAAATAAATTATCTGTTCAAATGTATAATGCCTTCTCAAGAATAAATTCTTACTGATTTAGTAGTTCAATAAACCCTATGTTAAACTTCACGTAGTTACCTTGGAAACAAAATCAATTGTCTAGTGTATGGTTGTCATGGGCACGAAGTCTCTCTAGGAATGAAGTAAAAACTTTGTATAGATACTTAAACTCTTAGCTTTGTTGTCTTCTTATCGAAACCGTCATATAGTGGACACACGGAATAATATTAACTAACAAAACACTTATCAAATGGAACTAATTATTAACTAACTAGCTGGGGTACCCATTGAAATGTTGTTTCCCCTATATGTAATTGTAAAAAAAAAAAATCCCATAAAAACTGCAAAGTGCGAAACCGCAAATTTTCGTGTATCTCCGCATAGACCCAACAAACCTTCATGCCAAATTTGGTGAAGATCTATCAACAGGGGGGCGAAGTAGTGGTAAAAAACGCAAATTTGGTGAAGTTTCATCAACAGGGGGCGAAGTAGTGGTGAAATATGAGAAAGCGCCCACAGAAACCCGCAAAACGTAAAACTGAAAAATGTTATGCACCCCCGCATGGACTCATTGAACCTCCATACCAATTTTGGTGAGGGCCCATGACACCCTGCGAAGTAGTTACATGGCTGGACAACAGACAATACTATTATATTTGTATAGATAAAACGTTTATTCCAGCAACAAAGAATAAGTAACATAAAAAAGTGAATCACACCAACTTCCAAAGGCAAGACAATGCATATTTTTCAAACACTTGTTTTCATATGTTTAATAGACTCGTAAATGATAATGTCTTAAAATCTAATATTAAAACAAATTATTGACGATGCATCTCTAACAGGAATTTATTTTAATCGATTTAGTCGTGCACAGCGGTTGCTTAACATAG